TAGCCCTTTTGACTCAAAATCTTTATCTTAATGACGTTTTGAGCCTTCGCCTGTCCTAGCCCCTTCACAGTAATAGAGAGACAATAAGAAGTACTCCATTTCAGAGCTATTTTTGGGGTTTTACACTGAACACAATCCTAAAAGGGCATTCACGCAGAGGTAGGGGGAGAGGGCACGTAGTAGCTCCTCTACGACCCTACCTCTCCAAGCCTTGTACATTGCAGAGTGCTGATGTTCAGAGCCAGACGACCAGCCGATGAGAGTTTGCGCTTTCACTATCAACTTAGGGTCACGGTCACTCCCAGTGCAGAAGTAGTCGCACGACCGCGTGGCCCTCCCTGCTCACCGAACTATGTACGTTAGCACACGAATTTCAGTTCGTGAGATAAGTCCGAATCAGCACGAAATGGACCCAGACCCACTGAAAAGAGCGACTTCTGATGTTGCAGCAAAAAAAACACAGGCATACTTGGACCTCACAGTCACATCCTCACAATCTAGCCCTCACTGTTCTCCTTTGCTTTAGCCACTTCACACACTTGTTCGCTGCGGACACAAGGGCTTGTCAGATGGTCGGCCCTGGCGCGGCCAGCCCTGTGACACCAGTTGTGGGAGTTTCTAACCAATTTTGTGGACCACAATTGGTTAGAAACTAGTTGGCGCCGCGTCAAACGCAGCTCCCTGACACACCCCAGCGTCCGAGAGATAACGAGATTCCCTGTTCCTTCAGGAATATAACAGACATCTGAGATGGAGGACTTGGACAGCGTTTATACTTCGACGCTCGTGTGACTGACCTCACCAGTCGTTATACCTACAACCGCTAGCTCAATCATATTCAGGATAGAACGTCTTTCGACTTTGGTCCAATGTTTGGCGGTAGAGCGCGGTAGTTCACAGCGATTACGAAATCGAGCAATTGCATCGCTCGAGACGTCAACTATGTATGAAGGTGCAGTGTAGAGGAATGAACTACCAGAAGGTGCAAGGCCATTATAACCAGCACAATCAAGAGCAAAGGGGTGATATAGGAAAAATGCTTGGGTGCTTGCCACCGCCTGCGAGGTCCCTTCTCCGGCCTAATGCTCAATCCTAGCTTTTGTCGTGGGTCCCATATTATCATGCAACAGTACAGGCTTCTCGAGAATCCTCCTGAGAGATCATTTCTTGGTCTTTTGTTGTTTTATAGCTCGGTGGTCTTTTATAATTGATTATTTCTCTACTGCACAAGTGGAAAAGTTCCGTTCGGCTGAAATGTACAGGGGGGGGGGGCAAAAAAAGTCATTTCGGCCGAGCCACATATCAACGAAGTTTTCGCAGCCCAGACAGGGGAAGTGGATATGAGTACCAGAGTGGAAGATACCCAAGATCTTCCTCTATAAGCTGGAGCAGGCTGCCGCCAATCGCCTTCATGTACGCCAAAATATGAAGTCATCTCCAGTCGCGGCCTGACTGGAGAACACCTTTGGAATTCACGTCGCCTCCAAACAGCTGCGAAACTTCTTGAATGAAGTCATCCACAGATAGCTACCTGGAGGTCAGTACTCTTGATCTGCAAGACCTCCCACATCGAGCAGCTACGGCAACGTCGCTACGCGTCCTAGGACATCATCTGCACCGTAGTCGCCGAGGCGCGAGTTGATGGTATGGACCGGGGTACCTGGAATGGGAAGACCGATATTTTCTTTGTAGACCCCGACTGAAGGTGAGCGCTGGCGGTTACATCAAGTAACTCGAGAAGGAATATCCTCCCTACATGTGGTCGCCCGTACCTTCTTGGAGACCTTGTGCTGCTACAGGTTTGGGTGCCACCACATGGAATCGAAGGGTTTTGGAAAAACTCCCGCCTACTTCGAATGGAAGGGCGTTTCGTACCTGAGAAGATGTAATATTGAAGTATGTCCCCTGACCTGAACCCACTCAATTACCTAGTTCGGGCGGAGTTCAATAGGGTGGTCTACGGTGGCGGAGAAATCGACTATCTCGCTGATCTCAGGCACCACATCGCGGTCGCGCGCCAGAATCTCTCGATGGCGCTCGTCCAGAAGGCTGTGGCGGAGTGTCATGATAGTATTTAATATGCTCTTTAATATGGTAGTAAAAATGTCCGATAAAAATTCAATAAAGTGTAACTTATAGCGCCTTGAAAGTCATGGAGGCAAAATGACTTTTTTTTTTTGGCCCCCCCTGTATAGCTAGAGCATAGCATTCCCTCCTGCTAAGACCGACTCCCCAATAATACACGACTATAAACTGAAGCAGCCTAAATTGGACATTAACTGAATTACCAGATAAAGATGAAACATGCTGCCGTTATTGTTATGATGCTCTTGTTGTGATACCGGAAGCCAAGGGGTGAAGAGGTGGGTGGTACTACAACCTGAGCGGTGAATCTTCCACTGTCTGCACTGTGAACCTGTGAGATAATCAGCCGATGAACGTGACCATCTTCTTGAATCTGAAAAGAATGATTTTCATGTGATCAGTTTCTCAATTGTAGGTAGAATATGACTCGCCTTACTTTGCCTACCAAAAATGCCTTACCTCGTAATCAGGGCAGTTGGAGACATTATGACCATCTTTGAGCCATTTGACGGCCGGTGTCGGATGACCGTCCAGTTGGCACTGCAGCACAACTCGCTCGCCTACCACTGCTCTCTTATCGGCCAGCGGCTGCAAAAGAAAAAATATTACTCAGAATAACTCAGAACTATTACATAAACTCGTATAAGCGCCACGTGTTAACCCATAATTTGTGGCATTTTGTGGAAAGTACACCTAATCATTTGAAGCTACGACAAGTCAGGTAGCGATAGGTGAGAACTTTCGCCAAAGAGTGCGATCATACTTTGCGATCACGTCGCTTAACATGACAGCGAACGAATCGCTCAAAGAGCGGCTGTAATCGAGGATTCCGGGAAAATCCTCGATCAAACTTCTATTGTTTTGCCCGCTGTTTTTTGAGCTAGGTTAGAGGGAGGGACACAGGGACGCTGCCGAGTGTTTCCTCAACTGCGCTAGCGCCCAGCTTTGTCATTAAAATGTTAAGGTGCCCAAGCAGTTTGGGCAGAGGGAGAGCCATCTCCTTTTCAGCTGCTCTGTGTCCTCTCAACGGAGAAGTTTTCAGAGGACTCGATTGGCGTTGCCAGGCGCAAACGAGTAGAAGATGAGCATGGCCTAGGCTCACCTCCTTGGCTACCCTAGTAGTCATTTCAGAACTTTGAGCCCTTTGAATCGGATGATCTTTTCACACGGTGCGAACAGGAAAAGGAACAAACAGAATAACGAAGAAACTTCACTGAATAACAAACGAACCCGAATAAACGATGGCGCGACGCGATTCTCGTCGGCACGTTCACCGAGAGGCTGTTTGAAAGGCATCTTCTTCTTTTGTTCAATAAATTACTGAATTCTTGATGTTGTGGTCTTTCTCAGTGGTTGATTCGGATTCGCATCCAAGTGTGGCCTGGAAACTCAAAGATACCATTAGCCATCATTCCACTGCAGCGTCAGACATATCGAGGACTGTGGCGCAGTTCGGCTTGGTGGGGATACCAAATGGTACGGCTCACTCGTGTCATCCTACACATCCACAAGAGTTTACAGGCTTTAGTTTACACGAAGTAGCAAGAGAATTAGCGAACGTGCAAAATCCTGGATGTGTGACAGGACAATCGTAATTCGCCAGGCAGGTGGTGGTGGGCGTGGCCGCGATGCTTTTTGCATGCCGCAAGCTGATAGTTCGCGGCCGCGCATGCGATGTCCCAATGTCAAGTCCTTATCTCTAGAAGGGTGTCCGAAAAGAAGAATCAGAAGTTGAGTGTACCTTTGTCGCTATGGAAGAGCTTACTCAAACGGCTGCGCGCGCTACCGCACGACACTCGCCACACGACAGCGCGGCGAATTACGATAGTCTTGACCGTCTCCACAAAGTACCTCCCCCAC